CGCACCAACGCGTTGGAGAGACGACAGCAACGCCACAGCAACATGACAAACAGACGACCTACGATGAAAATGGCGAAATCTCAGAGACTGCAGAGGTACGAGACTATCATATTGCGCGAGATGAGCGAGAGCCAATCAGATACCATTGGGTGTTATCGTGTGACTTACAGCGGGATTGAAAAGGAAACAACAAGAAAACACAGAATTGTGAATAAGTGGAAAAATGCTGTATCGACGGTAATCAGTCTAAATAATAGCGAACATAAAAACATGAGTGATCTGATCAATGCAGATAAACCGACAAAGCAACTAGGCGTCGGAAAAAAAGATAACAGAGTCAGCGAAAAGCTCGCAGGAAACAATTTAGAACCGATACAAACAGTAAATGGTGGAGGTGCTACTCCTGGCAAAATACAGCGTAGGAGGAGCCCGGTGGGGCGAGCTGAAAACTGCACGCAATTCAATACTCGAAACAAGAAGACGACGGAATTTACACCTTATAAAGCAAGTATCAGTCACAAAATGGCCTCCTCTCAGACGATCGCATCTAAAAAAACGCATGTAGAACATGAGAAAACTCAATCGTTGATTCCCAAAATCAAAGATCCGGAAAGAAAAGTAGTTAATTATGGCGTAGATACCAATACAAGTATGATGGACTCGGACACAAATCTGACAAACGCGTTAACACACTCAATGGCCAAAGATCCATTGAAGAAGCGCGTGCCGCGTGATTTACCTATAGTTAGTGGAATGATGGCACGTCAGCGGGATGAGGATGATACAAATGGTAGTGTTATCCGTCACCATAGTGATACTGGCCGGGTGACTCCGATACGGAAACTGATAGAACTGAGCCGCCGTCGCCATCCCAACCAGATAATGAAAAGCGGTGTACACCAACCGAAAGAATCCGAATATCAAATCGAGAAGAAACGATGTAATTCCGACGTTGATAAGCTAACGTTGAGATCCATATTAAAGAGAGGAGCTACACATGCGCAGTCGACACTCTTCACCCCAAATCGAAAAACGACACGGCGAGTTAGGATCCGAACACACGGAGACAATGCATCGAAAAACAAGGATGGAGCGAGTATTCACAATTTGAGCCAAAGGATAACGCGATGAGCGACAGTCGAAAGTTCTTCTCAAGTACGGGAGGTGACGTCATTGGACGTCACCAACCAAGTCCCGATGGAAGCGTGAGCTGAGAGTGAAAGCACCACCATTTCTCAAAACATTAATGCAGCTGTTGTTTAAATTGACAATAGTGGCATTGTGTAGTCTCACTTAGAAATAGCAAAGTACGATAAAAAGTTCATGGACGCACGACTGTAGATCAAAACAGTTACAACAACGTGAACTTACCAACCCGGGCTTTCACCCGTTTTACACAATAGAAACGTCTCGTCGTTAGAGGGCGCGACGGTGTGTTAAAATAAAATGTAATCGCTGCAATCCTCGAGGGCGGAGCTACGTCACAAGACGTTCCACGTTGCTAAGACGCGCACCACTGTACCACGTATTTCTAAGGGCTCTATGTGAGCTGCTGTGGAACGTGAAACGCCGAGCAAAGAGTCGGTGAAAATTCGAGAAAACACAGGAACTCAAATTTGAAGTGAATATCCGTTACACATGCAGGGGTAATTTTGTTACACTGTTCAAGGGAGTCTCAACAACCATCCCAAAGTATCGTTTTCTGAGAGTTTTCGGCTTTTATTTTCACCGTGATGGTTGCCATGCGATGAAAATGCCCGGGTGTCCGCCCCGAGAATAGAATACTTTAGTGAGACAGTATATATTTCAGACACGTTTACCACCAACAGGATGTGACGTTTTCGCTCTCTCAGCCAGTAACAAGACAAGAGTGGTAGTATTATCTTTTTTAAGGGGTACCAAATCCATCGATGGAACCTCCACCAGTCTCTTTAATCGTAGGCGGAGAGTCAAATAATATTTTCTCACGAAATTATGTTTATTATTAATATAATAATGTTTTATTGCAAATATAGGCATACATAGCGCAAATATAATATACATAACAAAATTAATACTAAAAGAAGAAAACTTATAATCTAAATTTTTTATAGTAAAATACATTTGAATAAACTTAAAAGGGAAACACAATTGTCATAAAAAGGATTGATACGGAACCACTCCGGTAGATGGCGTGTTCATAGGCCGTTGAATAAGGACATGTAGCTATGAAGTGATACTCATCTTATATCAAGCACGGTATACAGTATTTACAATAACGCTGCTCAACTGACACATTTCCATGGCGTCTCTTTTCAAAACACAGATCATGAGAAGAACAACAAAATCTTGACAGTTCTCTTCAGAATTGTCCACTATGAAGACAGTTCAATTACATTTCAGGTTCAAGCAACGACTCAAAACATTGATATGAACAGAGTTTTGGGAATGTTGAAATATTTGTATTCCAACTTTGCATAGTGCATTCATTTATTCTCTAGATGAATTATACCAAGAACACACTAGTGAAAGCACCTCCTTCAAGTTTGTTTTTCCAACATGCATGGCCAGATCTGAGATGGAAAAGTATAGATTGATCATTATAGAAGTTAACAGTTGTTACGCAACATTGCTTATGCCATAAAAATGGTTTAAGTCTCCGTTTCGGACGAAGTTCGTAATCGGGTACTATTAATTTGGCTGGCATGAATAAGCATATTCGAATTTACAACAGATGAATTGCAATAATTGCTAAGTACAGTCATAGACAACAGATAACAGCTTTAGAGACCAAAATAAATTATCTCATTGACTCGATTATTTACCGTCAGTTTAATAACATTGACCATTTTGATCTTGTCGTACGTTTTTAAAATCAGCAGTAACAATTAGGTAAAACTCATCTAGATATTTAAATGTAAACCGTGTGTGTAGGTGGGAGAACAGAAACAGTACATACTATTATATATTTATCGAGACTAAGTACACATTTCTTCCCCATTACTAGTATGTGTATTTCTGTCATGTCAAAACCTACTTAGTTCGCAACAAAAAATGTAAACACCACCAAAGTTTCCACAAACAGAGTACGTTTAATATTTATTACACGCAGAAATAATATGTATAGGGACTAATATAATTTTCAGACTGGCTCAGTCAAGTTTCATTTAAACACACAATGAAGTGAATTAGTTTTCGTAAAAACCCTGCATTGACACGCAGATCGCCGCAAACCAACCGATCTGACACATACCGCGCGTGGAACTATGGGAAAAGTGGTCGGAACCAATTTACATGCATTTAAATGTTAATAAAATAAGATATTCTGATGAGTGTTGTGTGTTATTTTAATTGATCAACTCATTAAAGATTAAATCTTGCTAAAAATCGGGGGAGGATGTGTTCAAAACAAGAAAAATACTTTTATATAGTTCCGCGGCCGAAACGCTGAGAAAAATGGTAGCTGATGGATCTTTAGCTTTCAGAGGCTAGTTATGCGTCATAAGACACAGGTCTGTGCTGAATAGCGCCACCTGTGTTGACACAATGAAAAAGCCTGACAATTCCACGATAATGGATGTATACGCTATACTACCAGTATGACTACAATTTAACAACCAGTTTATTGTAAGCGAGTCTTATTTTTTTACGGAGGGGTCATTGACAAGGATTTCTCGCCTGCCTCGGGTAACTTTTTACGAATTATTCTTATTTTTGAAGAGGGTTGGCAAGGGGTAATTTCGTAAGCTGTAATCCATTGTTTTAATTCTCGTAATAATGTAATTTAAATAAATAAAAAAACGTAAATTCGTAGACATGGACTAGGTGTAAAATGTAATCAGCTATTTTATTCGTCCGTAATGTGTACAAAGATATTATATTTTGTAAGCATAAGAACCATTTAAAATTTTGAAACTTAAACACAAATTATCAAGTATATTATAAAAATGTAAAATGTAATTAGGATTGTTTTTACTGTAAATGGAACTTTCCATTTTATTTCCCGTAAAAACGTAAAATGCATTTTTTTATTGCCTGTTACCTGTACCAGCTATCCCCCCTTGCCCCCTAGAAAGTAAGTCTTCGTCCATACAGATGCCCATGATTGTATTCCATAT